GTTGAAGAGGCGGTTTTGTCAAATGCTGATTGGCTGAAATCTAGGCCGTGGCTTCGATTTTTTGAGATTGCAGTTTGCTGCCGAACACGGATGATGCTGCTGGTCCAGCGACTGACGACGACGGCGACGACGCGCCGGGCGGCGATGGTCCGCGGGCTGGCGACCGTCGCGCCCTTTCACTTGGCCGTGCCCGTGCACAGCCTCGCGGAAGGTACCCGTGCGCGCCTCGTCTGACGTCGTCTCATGCACTTTGGATAGCACAAGCCTTTTACGGCGGCAAGCTCGGCTTTACCGAAGGCCGGTCGTCGGCGCACTGGCAGGTGCGAAGCGCCCGGCGTCGCATGTTGGCCCATGGTGCTGTGCGTAGGACTACAACATGCTTGGGCATCAGCTGGTCATCCACGCTGTGGGCCCCGAGTACCGCGGGCGCGACTACCACAACCCCGTGGGTACGACGACCTTGCCGAGGATGCGCCGTCATGCGCATCGCATGTAGACATGGATGACGTTCCCGTGCCCCACTTTGGCGTGTGCTTGACGGTCGACGAATTCCACGCGCTCGCCCAGCGCGTCCAAGCGGCGGCCATCCCGTTCGTCGTGCAGCCGCATCTGCGCTTTGAAGGTCGTCCGGGGGAGCAGTGGACCATGTTCTTCAAGGACCCGAGCAACAACAACCTCGAGTTCAAGGCCATGACCAACCCTGCCAACCTCTTTGCCAAGTACGTTGAAAAATAGGGTTGAGACTAGGATGGAAAGGTTGTCTTTCGGGTCCCTTCGTCTAGTGATCGCATCTTGTTCTCTACAAAGCAGCAGCGTACTACTAGAGCGAGTCAACGTCCATCGCATCGTCGGCGCCCTCTGGCGCGCTGGTCTTGGCGTCTGTTCGCAAAGGAATCTTGATCTTGTGCACGTTTGCTTCGTGCTTTTTCGCGCGCCGGGATCGTCTTGAAGACGTGCTGGCACGCGCGACACGTCCGGCTCTTGTTGCGCTTGGGCTTGAGCGGCGGTGCGTTCGGGCCGTGTGCTGTCTTGACGTGCGCCGCGACCGCGTCTGGCGTCCGGAACCGGCGGTGGCAGCTCCCGCACGGAAGCGTCTTGGCGCTCACCGCCTTGCACGTGGGTGTGTGCTGGCGCAGGCTCTCGAGCGTCGGCCGCGTCGCGCCGCAATTGTCGCAGACAAACTGCACCGAGCGGTCGAGCGTTTGCGTCACGGACGCCACGGCCTCGATCGACGTCTCGGCGCGAATCGCATCGTAAATTTGCAGCAAGACGGCCGCATCGAGCGCTGCATATGTGAGCTGCGCCGGCTTGAGCGGGCGGAGGTTCCAGTTGGACTTTTGCTGGGACTTGGTGAGCCGCCGTCCGAGGGCCATGTACGTGAGTTTTTGCAAGCTAATGAGCGCCGTGTGTCCGAGCGTGAGCCGCGCGAGGTCGGTCGCTTCAATGTAGTTGTGCACCACGAGTGCGTCGTCCAAATCCTATCCGTGGTGCTCACGGTGCAGAATTGAATTTCGCGGAAAGGTGATACCTTGAGGTCGGATTCGAAGCCTTGGCCAATCTTGGTGCATGTCGTCGACGCAAGGAGCTCGGCGAGGACCGTCGTCACGTTCGCTTTGGGCAGCGCGAGCAAGTCGAGAATGAACACCGTCTCTGCTGCCGACGCGGCGTCACGCATGGCAATCTGCAGCAGCGACACGGGCTGCCGGGGTGCACCTTTCCGAAAGACCGGGCGCGTCTCCTAGAGAGGCGTGAGAGGCGCCGAGGTCGCGCTGCGGTGTACCGAGTCCAAGCCCACGAGCAACGCCTTCCGCAGCTGCTCGTGACACGCACTGAGATCGGTGAGCGTGCACACGAAGGTCACGCGCGTGTTGGCACCAAGCGTAAGGATGGGCACGCTATTGAGCGCGGCCTGCAGCTCGGCCTTGGATGCTGGTAGCGGCAACATTGCAGTCGAGTGTAGCTGTCGAGTTGTTGGTGTGGACGCCAACAGATGGCCGTGGCATGGATGCAGCGCTTTTCTATAATATAATAGTTTACGATTTGAATGTTGTAGCTTGATGTTTGTATGCCTATAAAGTACTTTATAATGCATTTAAAAATGCTGTTTTTAAAAAAGGCGCTGACAGGCCAGCGTTTCGCGATCTGCGCGATCTTTTCAACCAACGTGCACAGCGAATTCCCTTGACCAGGTAGCCACTGTCCACACACAACACACACACAACAGCAGAATGTACAGTGATGACCTATTTGCTACGATATACTACGACTAGATGCGTAGGTGTCGACTACTCCACGGGCTGCGACGTGAGGCCAAGGCTGTAGCGATACGCCACCGCATCGTGCGTCACCGAGGACTCGAGGAGGTAGTCGTGGTTCGAGTCGGGGCTAAGTGCAACGCTCGACTCTTGCTGCATTGGCTTGGACTCCGCGGTAATACTCGTCACACTGCTCGGCGCGATGTTGTTCACAGCGTGGAGGTTGACGCCGACGTTGAGGAGGTACCGGTAGCTGACAGCGTCATGGGACGCTGGTGCGTCCAAGAGGAAGTCGGCGCTCTCAACGGCCGCCGTCGGCTTTGCAACCGAAGCAGCGCTCTTGGGTTGTTTGGGGGATGTTGTCTTGGCGGCGGTGGTGGCCTTTTGCTTGGGAGCCTCTGCTTTGTGCGCAACCACCGGGGCCGCCTTGGACTTCGTGGGCGTGACCTTCTTCGGGGCAGGTGCCGGTGCCGCAACCGACTGCTTCAGCGCCTGAGCCTTTGGTGTCGCTGCCAAGAGAGCCGAAGCTTCTTTCGGCTTGATTGCCTCCACCACATGGGCGGTTGTTGTCGACTTGGTGGGCACGGCGGTGTTCTTGGCCTTGACGGCCTCTCCCTTCGCCACCGGCGCTGCAACCATATGCTTGGCGGTGTCGATCTTTGCCGGCTCATGTGCCTTGGTAGCTTCGACTTTGGTGGCAGCGACAACCTTGGGCGTGGTCGCTTCGACTGTCACTGGCTTGGGCGTGGCAGCATCGCAGGTCTCCGTATGGCGCTTCAACGACGCGTGCGTCTTGAACTTGCGGTTGCAGCGACCACACGCGAGCTTCTTCTTCTTGGGCGCCTTGGGCTCCGCCACCGGTTCTTGCTGCTGGTGCGTCGCGGCGTGGTGCTCGAGGCCGCCTTTGGTCGAGAACGCGCGGCGGCACACCGTGCACTTGTGGTCCGCGACCTTGGGCGGGACGCAGTG